TTTTCTATACAATTAAAGTGAAATAACTGAACATAAATGTAGGAGCTTGCTAAAAATTCTCATTTTAGATGAAAATTTCAGATGGCACTTAGAGGCTTTTGCATCTGAACTCTTCATATATATATATATATGTGTGTGTGTGTGTGTGTGTGTGTGTAGGCTGCAGGAACAAAAATGGTCTGCATCTGTAAAATAAAATGTCAATAAAAATGTTTGGCTGCTGTTTCTCCTTCTAATTCCCCTCTGTTCAGCACCATGTTCTTCTCTCTAACTGATGGCCTTGTTAAGTAGCCTATAGGGTCAGTGTCTGAGCCAAAAACCGGTCGTATGATCTCTTTTGAGTGGAATATTTATTGCTTTATACTATTCGCACTTTGCACTTCTTGTTAAAGGCTAACTCTATTGATTGGTTCTGTACAAATCTAATCTACTATTTTTTATTTTATTTTATTTAGTCATTTATTAGACGCTTTTATCCAAAGCGACTTACAAATGAGGACAACAGAAGCAATTAATTGTAGTATTAAAACAACTAAAAACCGATCCAAAACTAAAAGCTAAAACTTTATAAATACTACCTATACACATTTTAAAAATAAAGAGATTAAATAAAAATGACAAATGCATACAACTAAATTTCAAAACTTAACATTTAAATGAAAAACAAAAAATAAAGCTAAAAACTATTCAAAATATTAAAGAACAAAAGGTATAAGTGTATAATAATGATTCTAACATAACACTAAGCCAAACACCAAAAAAACCAACTACATATGTGTATGTGCAACCACACACATATATACTGTATATGTATATACACATTTATAAATTCAATATATATATTATTTCATTTTCATTTAGTTTGTTGAAGTATTAAAATAACTCAAATTAAATAAAACTAAAAACTTAATAAAAGACCTATACAGACATAATAAATTCAGACATAATGTAACTAAAATTAAAATAAATAACAAATACAAATAATACAAATCAAATGACAGTAGTTTATCAGTAATCCTAAAAAATAACACTGCCAAACACACATGCTAAAAAACAACAACTTACTTACACATAGTAAGAAATGGTTATAAAAACTGAAACAGAAGCGAAACAAGTAGTAGGAAAGAGGAGAAATAAAAAGCGATACTTATCTAATGACAGATTTTCTTTTGTATACAGATGAATAAAATGGGTGATCAAATGATCTAGATATTATGCGTACTGTTAATTCATTGCAAGTGGCAGATATCTGTAGTTATCTCAGATATGTATGCATGTGTGAACGCCAGACTGTTTTCCGCATTCCTGTTGGGCACATAGGAGGAGTTCTGTTTCCATGGAGATGCGTCATCACGCTCAAACGACCTTCACGCTGAGTTTTTCGCGCTACCAACTAGCGATTTAAGGATAGTTAGTTTATATAACAAATGTTAAAATGTAATAATGTTATAATATCTCTTTTAATACTCATGAAATTGCTTTGATTTAACGTTAATTTAAACTGAAAATAGGACGTCAGTAAGTAATGTGTTGAAGTATGGCATCACGTAGAGACAGACGGATTAAAGGCGCTTCTCAAACAACAAGCATGCGCGAGGAGATTTCAGTTAAAAAAGAGTTTCACGTCCCACCTTTGAGTGTCACAATGAAAGAGAGCAAAAAGAAGAGGAAAGACCCAACAAAAGAGAAAAAGAAATCGAGGAATGGCATTAACCAGTCAAGGGATTCAGGTGAGTTGGTTTGTAAAAACGACTAGAGCCGAGAGATTTCGAACGCTTTAGGTGGTTAGGCTAGTGGTGGCTACAATAAACAAATAAATAAAACTAAAAGTAAAATGAATAAATAAATTAATAATACTACCATATCATATCATATGAAAATGTAGCTGTTGGAAAACAAGAAGACTTTTGAGATAGTTCTTCTAAAAATGTAAATTCTGTCATCATTGAGTACTCACCCTTATATTGTTCCAAATGGCTTTCTTTTTTTTCTGTAGAACATAAAAGAATATATTTTGAGAAATTCCTCAATTTTGTTTTCGCTCCATACATTGCAGATAGGTATAGGTTAGATATTTTATGGCAAAACAAGGCATGATTAGGAACCGAAATCTTCCAGTGCTGTCAACTAAACAACATTATTGAAACATTTATTAACACAGTCTGTCTTTAACAGTATTTTACTTGTGTTGACTGATAGCTGCCTCCTTCGGTACCTTAGTGCATTAGTTGACCATGGGTAATTACTGATATTGTCTCAAAAGCATTGTGATATATTTTAAACCTCCTATATGTTTTCTCTGTTTTGGGAGATTAACTCGTAATCCATCTACCCGTCTGACCTTCCTCTAGAGAAACTCCAGACAGAACAGTGGACCAACGGAGAGATGAGTGATGTTCAGAGCAAAGGTCAGGCCAAAGCCAAAGAACGTAAGAGCAGCAAATCCAAAAATCCCAAGGGTGTTTCAGAAGCGGTTCCAACACAAGAGGACAACTCTGATTTGACTCAGCTTGAACAGGACAGCTTGAGGTGGGAAGGAGCTCTAGAAGACCCCACTGCAGAGGCCCAACGGTTGGAGGTCTACAGAGCCAACCGCCGTAAACGTTATATGGCATCAAGACAGGCTTTTCTACAAAATATTCAAAACTCAAACTCTTCAAAACTAAATACACGGAACAAGCCTGGAGTTATAGCATGAAGAACTTACAACACATGAAGTCTTATAATCAGTCATCTATCATGTGCAGAGTCAATTAGATATGAATAGGCTGCATTCAAGAGTGTTTTTGGTGTTATTAACATAACTGTAGTGAGAAAGGTCTTTAGATCTGAATGTGCAATATCATTTCGCTTGTATGTGGATACTCTCACATGGAGGCCTATACTGTTATATATTGCATCATTTTGTGATTATACACTGATCCTTGGTTTTGTTACCATTTTGAAGCATCCTATAAGCTAATCAGTCCATC